TCAACACTGTGTGGAGAAAAGAGGTCAGCACTGAACAGCCCCTTTGCCATGACAAATAAGAGCAGCTGCAGGGTCAGTTAGTGAACAGCAGTCCAGAAAACCCCAAGCAATTAGATAGGCCAACACCAGAACAAAGCCCAGCTGTAGTTGCAAATACTGGGGAAAAACAGTAGCTGGAACTAGGGGTATGTCTCCAAATGTGTTTGTCTCAGATCTCTCGTGGCCCATTCTTGCACTTCCAACTGTTATGGTGTCAGGAAGGTGTTACCCTCCTGTCATTTCTCTGAGAGCTGGCTCTTCTGCACGGGAAGCTGGACTGAGGAGTCCTTTTGATTGTTCTGTGTCTTCAAGAGATTTGCAATAGAAGTATTACATAGCTCCTCTTTGTTTTTTCAGAGTGAAAGAATTGAAAAAGGCCAAGGAACTTGAAGATACGCAGCAGCATCCCGTAGCAATGTGACATTGCTTTTCAGACTGTTTTCATTTTCTGTTTTTAGCAGAGACATGCAACAACAACAAAAATACCCACTGCAGTTCTGGAAATACCAGCTGCAGGATTTTAACAGTAATGTTTTGGTCATTGCATTTGCACTTTCATGGACAACTTTTAATTTGTTCAGCAAGACATCTTGGAACTCAATCTTCTGTTGGATCGTTGGGAAAACAAAAGACACCAGGAAGAAATTGTGAGTTGCTTCATTCTCCGAGAAGGAACGAAGAAGCGATTAATTATCCTTTTCATATAGGGCTGTATTAAACAACATGTGGAACTGTACAAATATTATACCAAAAATATTGTTCAGAAAAGGTGGGAATGCACAAGCAACACAAGAATGCTGTTCCTGCACCTGTCAGTCATCTCCAAGAAACTGAAGCTTTGAGAGTCTCAGTGGAGGGGCTTAGATCAGTACATCTTTATTGGGTCCATGCATCCTCATTTCCTTCGCACTCCTGTCTTTTGTGTTTTATTTAAACCTCTACAGCACACTTAATGCAACTTTTTAAATCTGCAGGTTTTTAATACATCCTGTGGGAACTTACAGAAGGGGTTGGTGTGTGAGAGACACGGGTAATGCATGAGAATGGAGAGAGCAGCTTAAGCAAGTTTTAAACACTTTTTTTGGTATTTTTACTAGAACCTGCAAACATATCAACTGTCATGTACTTTCTCTCATATTCAGCACTTTATTTTCTAGCCTTACCTTCATGTACTATTGTTTTAATTAAGTTCTTAAATAATTTGTAAAACATGTAGCTTTTTCTCTTATGTCAAACCTCTTGTCATTTTGCAGAGTCACGTACATATGTTGCCTGGACATTTTAAGCCACCTAAAGATCAGTGGTGCTGCATTCTGGCCAGTAAATTTCTTATTTTGGCTACTTCATCGAAACCTGGGCAGTTTTCTGTATATATAGAAGGTAGAAATGGAAAATGAGAAAAAAATATTTGAAAGGGAATATATTGATTAATTACTAAATATTTTATTCACAAAGGGTCAATAACTTGGCAAGATAAAATTATTATTTGTATAGTTTTGTCTGAATGAACCAGAAGAGTGTGGATGTATTGTTTGTACATATTGTATATATTAAAACAAAGAGATATGTGCATGAACTCAAGAAAAAGAAATGAACAAAGCAAAGCATTAGTGGCTATGGTCTGTAAAATGAAACAAAAACTTTATTTCACTATAAGAAACTTTATTTTAAATGTTCTTTAGAAGAACATTTTTGCTAAAGCATGACTAAATGGCAAAAAAGAGCTACTGTATTTAGACTTAGGAAAAAAAGGCAGAGCAACATTACTTTAAAAAAAAAAAAAAAAAGAAAAAAAGGATATGTTTACATTTGATTTTGGCTACCAGGAGTTTGGTTCAGTTGGGTTTAATTTATATATTCCTTGCTTTTTTTTTTCCCCCCGTCTTTTTTTTTCCTTTCTTTCTTTTTTTTTTTTTTGCCAATGGTGCCAAGTAATGTGAATGCTAATATTGCTTAAGAAAATTAAGTTACTTTTGCAAAGCAGATAATCATAAGAGTACAAAAACCGTATCTAGCTTAACACCATACACTCACTCCAATAAAGAACACTTAGAATGAACATAAAATGAAAAAAATAAATAAATAAATAGTACAAAAGTAGAAAATATGTTTCACATTTTCATATCTCCTGCTGGAAGTCAGAAAATGTAATAAAAATTGCACAAAAAATTTAAAAAAATTAAGTAAAACTTAAAAAAAAGATGCAAACTGATCTTGTAGGGGTGTCATGGTATATTGCTATTTCCACATAGTGAGGAGCCAAAGAAATTAGATTTTTTTTAAATTGAACTACTAATTTAAAATTGTCACAGATTCTGAACAATGGGAACCAGGTTCTGATCTTCACTACATAGGAATGTAAGGGAAGAAACTCCTGAAGTCCATGTTGTTACTGTGGGTCATGTACATGTATCTGAGATCAGAAACTGCTCCTGTCTGTTTGTCTCACTTGTGGCAGTTTAAAATTTCTGAATGGACTTGTGTAAATCTGAGATTGTTAGTTTCGGAATAGTTGTTCTTGCTTGATCCCGGCCACCAACTGCAATGTTTAAACGCAGGGCTTGTTGTGAAGCCAAAAAATATTCACATATAAGAAGCTTTGAAACTGGTGTCTTTACAAGAAGAGTAAAAACAAAGATTGTGGCAAAAAAACTGGGGTCAGTGCTCTTGGTGCCTTTTCTATAATTGTACCTGTTTTTAATTACTTCCTTTCACTGCCAGCATTGAATTATAGTAGATGTGCTATAGCTCATTATCAGAATTCTCTTGTACATTTCTGAACTGCTGCTTTATGACCTGATTCAATTCTAAAAAAGGGAAAAAGGCAAAACGAATGGCCTGGCACTCACACTGTGCCTGTGGGCAGCCTTGTAGCCTCCATTTACTGTCTGCAATTGGAACCTTAACCATTAAATTTTCCTCTCATGCCAAAACAGAACAGGAGACACTGAAGAATCTCCTTTGGAATGAATTGGAAATGCTCTGTATTAGTACTGGAAGAACTCTGACATTTTGAAAGTGAAATATTGTACCCATTAACCAATACGTGACAATATAGAATTGATCTGTTCTTAACAAGAGTAGTGACCTCAGTGGAAATGTTTTAACTCCTTGTCTTTACAGAAAATGATTCAGTAATATACAGAGCTATTTCAAATTACTCTTCCAGATCCATGGGCCTGGTGGTGTATCTACTAATCTAGATCCTGCTTCAGCCAAACGTTTAAGCCTGTACTGGTGTTAACCATGCCGGCAGTTCCGCGGGCGCAGCAGAACTCCCCGCATGCTTGAAGCCACGTACAGCTCCCAAGTGCTTTGTTGTGTCGAGCCGTAACCCTTCAGTGTGTCACTGGGGAGGGAGAAGGACTCCCCTGCAGTGAAGTGATTCTGCGAACCCTCTTCTTGGTTGTGGAACTTATATTTTCACCGAAGATAAGTAAGTGCAGCTTTCTAGGAAAATTCAAACTCCCAAGTGCCAGGAGCCAGATCTTCTGTCTTCTGATAATGGAACCGCTCCTTTGTGAAACACATTCGACAGCAGTAATACTGTGTGAAAGAAATACAGAATATAACATGAACCCCCTCTCTGGTTGCACGCTTATGGCAGTTCCACACAATAGCTGGTGCCCAATGGGGGGTCCCCAAGACTTGCATGTAAAACTAGTATAGATGTCTTCTCTTTTGTAAGTTTTATTTTTGTAACCGTGCATGTAAAGCATCACTGAATCAATGGATCTGTTGAAGAACTCAGCTGCTGGAACCATGCAAAATGTTTTGAATTGCCCTTAAAATATGGAAAATGTTTTCTGAATGCTTTATATTCTTTCTGCTGTAAATTAAAAACAAAGAAAATTTCCCCATACAAAGTGTGTGCCTTCTTTTAAACACATCTCCTCCATCCTGGTTTGAGAGCGATGTAGCCCTTTAGTCACTGTAAGGAAGCATGAAAAAAATGCATTTCTTCTCTACATGATCTGCTTGTTAAGTATACTGCATCTGATTTCTCACAGGTGTAACAGCCTGCCCATGAGCAGGTGGAACCCCCAGAGCTTGTCTGAGATCAGATTGGTTTCAGTTCCTGTCAGTGGACAATCACTTCCAGGGCTTCTCATGAGAAACCATATGTACCTGGTAGCAAAATAATAAATCCTACAGTGTGCACAAAGCAGAGTCAAATCCTAGGAGAATTCAAGAGGGTTGCTGATGCAGATATGTAAGAGGTCACAATAATACAAAGTATAATACAAAGTAATACAAAGAGACACAGTAACTTTGCACTGATCAGATATAGAAGTTACACAAATTGGCCCTCAGTAATGAAACTTTTGTACCAGACTACCACAAGGCCAGCCTAGCAGGGAAAACCAAGTTTAATAGTCATCTAGTATGCGAAAGACTCTGTTAGTAGTGCTGTAAGTTCTTCCAAAACCCAGAACCACAACAGAAGACGAGATTTCATTTAGAGAGTTTATTTTTGACTACAGACAGACAAAGTTTAATTATGTTCTCCTGATAAATAAATCAGCATTTAACTCCCCAAATTGATCTCAGCTACTTCCCCATTTTTCCTATTTACATACCTATTAATTGCCGAGTTCTTTAGTATTGTGGTGGGTTGACCCTGTACTGAAAGTAGACACCAGCTGTCTGTCTGCTCACTGCCCCACCTTCCCCCTTCTCCCCAGTGGAATGGCCGAAGAAAACTGGAAGACCAAACATGAGGGGAAAAAATGGCTGGAGTGAGAAAAAGACGGTTTAATAAGTGAAGGGGGAAAGCGAAAACGGGCCCAAGTGCGAGCAGGCCCCGCCTCCCGCCGGGCCCGGCGGAACCGCCGCGGGGCTGCGGCCACAGAGCGGGCCCGGCGCGGGGGGAGGGCGCCCCCCCGCGGCCGCGCCGACGGCTGCCTGGGGGCGTGGCCCCGGACGGGCCCCGCCCCTGCTCCGGGTCCCGCCCGCAGGCCCCGCCCCTCTGACGTCACCCCGGGGCGCCGTCGGCGCCGAGCACAGTTCCCGCTGGACCCGCCCGGGCGCTGCGGCCGCGGCCCTTCCCGCCGGCAGGATGTGAGTGCGGGGCCGTGCGGGGCCGTGCGGGGCCGTGCGGGGCCGTGCGGGGGGACGCGCGGGGGAGCCGGGCAGCGGCGCCGGGCCCGGCCGCGCCCAGGCGGGCGGGGGTTCCCAGAGCGGCTGCGCAGAGGCCCCGCCCGGCCCCCGCTCGGGCCGGTACCGGGGCGCTGGGCTGGCCGGGCCGGGCTGTTCCGCCAGTCCCCGGGCGCCTGTCAGAGCGGGGCCGCCCCGCCGGGGCAGCGCCTGCTGGGCACCGGAGCGTTATTGTGTTTGGAGGTGTCATTTCCGAGACTCTTCCCCTGGAACTAGCAGCGAAATAGAACCAAAGGTTGGCGGAAGTGCCAAAACAGTCGAGCGGTGATGCTGGCCTGTACGGGGCCTGCTCCGAGCCTCGCCCCGGGCTTCCCGGCTCACACCTTGTGCGTGTACACGTTTGTTCTCTCTCCGTGGAACTTAAAGTGAATGTATAAATGTGTAAATTCAGGAAATAGTCAGACTTGGCTGTCTGGAGTGCCAGGATGCGCTAAACAAGGGTCTGATGTGGAAGAAATAACAACATAGAAAAGGAAATTGACTACAGATAGTTCTAGAGAGATGCAAAAAACCTGGCAAAGCACTGAAAAGGGTATGAGGAGTATGTACAGGAACTCTTGTGTCCATTACAAAGATGCAGAGTGTTGAAGCTGGTAAACAAAAACCCTCTGTTATGAAATCAAAGCTGACCAGAAGTAAATTCTTGTATATGCCAGATTCTTTTTCCTTCTGGTGCTTTCGCTTGCTCTGTATCAACTGTTTCAAAATAATAGAGACAGCCAACAACAGAGAAGCACGTAGTCAGAATAACCATTAAGTTTTTGTATATAATTTTTTTGTAAATACTGTAGCTTGGAACTTAGTATTTGTGTTCATAGTGGAAAGCAAGAACACTCCTGAGCCTAAACTCTTGACTCCTTGAGCCCTGAACCATGGTTGGAGCTGTCCTGTACCTTATTGCAAAATGTGGTATTAGCAAGCCATTGCTGTCTCTTAGAATGGCAGGCAGTTTGTTGACAAGATATTTGGAACACAGTGTGACTTGCACCTAATGTCAGCTGTTAAAACACCATTTCTTCAGTAGGAAACTACCCTACATTTATTCCAAGGATACATCTCAGGAATCTCAGATGAATAATGATGACTTTCTTTACTGCAGGTCAGCCAGTATCCCTGGAAGCTCAAATGTGGCTGCTGGCAGTAATCGTCGACTTCAGCAGACTCAACACCAAGTAGATGAGGTAAAAGTCTAGTCCAATAGCACTGTCATTGTTTTCCTTCAGGAAACCTATAAAACTAGAAGAGATGTTTTTACCAAAGCAGTTTTCCCTTCATTATATGAAGGGGAAGTAGAGAGAAGTTACCAGTGTCCAAATATTAGCTGCAATCTTGCTGCTTGAGGATTTGGCAAATTTAAAGATAAAAGGCTGACTGCCAAATATGATGTGTCTAGATTTTTGTGGAGTCCAAAAGCCAGGCTGGCTAGCAAGAGTATTTTTTGACATATGGTTTACTATCATGTTTATATGCCTCAACTCCTTCTGAAGCGGCTCAGGAATTATTTCCCAGGTTTGAAGGAATGCCAGCACTACTGGCACTACTGACTTTTTAAAGTAGGTATTAGGGGCTTCCAGCCCGACTGAATTCCAGGGTTTTGTTTAAGCTTATGACTGCATATATTAAAAGGCAATAGCCTCTGCTTCTGAAAAGAGAACACCAAGTACCATATGTTGCTGTCTGTTGCCTGCGATTATGTTCTACCATGGGTTATACAACTGGTAACTTACTGTAAGCATTAAACTGGTGTAGGTTGTTGACATCATGAGAGTGAATGTGGACAAGGTATTGGAGCGAGATCAGAAGCTATCAGAGCTGGACGACCGTGCTGATGCACTGCAAGCAGGAGCTTCCCAATTCGAGACCAGTGCAGCCAAGCTGAAAAGGAAGTATTGGTGGAAGAACTGTAAGGTAACCTTCCCTTGTGTACTTATGCTGTGCAGTACTACAGGTAACACTATTACAATTGGCATCCCTAAAGGTAGAAGAAGAGATTACTTTAGCCAATGTTGTTTAACTTACAGCATCTAGTTTTTAAAGCTTGACATAGTGGCTGGGTGAAGGAATGAAAAGCTGGACTAGAGGCCATGCTGCCCTATGCAAGATCTTGTGTAACATGGTAATGGCCAGTGGGGAAACACGTCAGTAATCTGAGGTGTTGAGGAACAGGAAGAAAAGCGTAAAAATGCATAGCTTGAGTTAAAGTACAGGAAGTGTTAGAAAGTGGAAGAAGCTCACTCAGACTCCTGTACTTGTAGCTGTTGGCAAAGGTTGGAATCATCTTTGGTGAGTAACAAAGACTTGTGTATTCACTTGAGACAACCTCTGTGTGAAGGAGACTGTACTGCTGTGTTTTGTCTGTGTGCATGACCTGCCATCTCTAAGTGTGGATCAAGCTTGCTTACCGAGAAGCTTTGCTTGCCATGTTAGACCTGACACATGGTGCTAAATTCCCTTGAATGGGCTGTTTTCCTGTATCCTGAGGGGCAGTTAGTGCTGTTGCATGGTTTGTAGTAAGTGTTGTGTGGCTTCTTTTCACAGATGTGGGCAATATTGATAGCTGTTGTTGTCATTATCATCATCATCATCATCGGTAAGTTTCACCAAAGTGGGGATTCCTCATAGGCTTGGAATTAATGGTGTTAATTCACTGACTGGTATAGTTTAAATAAAGCCAGGATACTCAAATAGAAGTACTACTTCAACATTAATTTGAAGTAGTAGTGACAGCTTTAACAAGCATTGTTTGCAGTGAATGGTAAACTGGGACTACTGTGGGAGCTCCAGGACCTGAATCTCAACCACCTTGCTATGAAAATAGCAAGGACTTAGAAACCAGGAACAGACGTGCTTTTTTTTTTTTTTAGCTGCATGTTGCAGAAGTATAAGATCAAATTCCACACACCTGCCTTGTCTGAGAACTATTCATCATTTGCCATAGCTTCCTGCTAGATAAACCTCTTTTGGTTTGGGAGTTCCAAGTGCACTGCCACAGCAGGGAGGTTTTCTTTGAGTAGAGGTTTTGCTGCCAGATGAAATGAGTATAACGTTGGGTTAGGATGGAGAGCCAGGGAATGTATAGTTCAGTCTTTGAGTCCCCGTGTAATCACCAGATATTTAATGGGAAGACAAAGGTTTTAAGTTTGTGCTGTGATACAGTAACAAACACTGCAGTAACCACTGGCATCAGAGATGTTCTCCTGGGTGAGAAGTACTGGAAGGCAAACACAAAGGAAGAACGCAGCTAAGAAAACCAACATGGGCAAATTCTTAGATTTAGAGGATTTAAGAGGGATTTATCTTTATTATCTTAAATTCTTAAAACGCAGGACTGTTATGGTGAGGGGCTGAAGGACACTGCTCCACTTCTTTCTCTTTTTTGTAGTCTCGGCTACTTCATGAGTTACAGGAAGAAACTCAGATCAACTGAAGGTGCCTCTGAATCTTCAACCTCTCCACTTCAAACCTGCTGCATTTTCAGTCCATTTACTGCTGTTTAAAGCAAAACTATTTTCATTACTGAAATGTTAACTAACTTTACTGGTTGCCTTAAGACACTCCTGCCATTAATTACTAACAAGCACAGCTCACCACTTGCACAGTGCCTTAATAAAGCGGGGTGCAGAGCTCGTGAGGCGGACCCGGCTCTGGAGCTGCGCGACCGCCGCTGTCCTCGCCCCGCGCTTCTGCGCGCGCGCGGGCCCCGCCCCTGTCCCGGCCCCGCCCGGGGGCGGCCCCGGCCCCGCACGTGGCGGCGGGGCAGGCGCGCGCACGGGGGCCGCGTGCGATGCCGCGTGAGAGGCGGGGCCAGCGCACGCGGGGCCGCGGCCCCGCCCCGCTGAGCGCGGTCTCCTCCAATAAACGGCTCTGACCCCGCCTCCGCCTCCTCCTCTGTTCGCACGTGGCGGGGGCGTGTGGGAGAGGGGCCGCCGCGTGCGCCGCGTTACGTAACCGCGCGGGACGGGGGCGCGGCCCCTGAGGGCGCTCACGGCCCGGAGCGGGAGCAGCCTGGGGTCGGCGGGACGGGCGCGGCGTCGGGGGGGCTCGGAGGGGCGGGAAGACGAAGCGGAAGCCGCTCGGGATCAGCCGGGGTCTTTTGCGAGGAATCCGCCCGAGCGGTGAGCTGAGGGAGTGCGCGCCGGCGAGCAGAGCGGGAGCGCAGAACCGGCCCCGGTGCCCGCTCCGCTCGGCGGGAGGAGGAGAGGGGACACCGCTCCTCCCGCTGTCTCGTGGGGCGGCGCGTGTTCTCCCTGCAGCACCGGCGCCAGGACCGCGGGCCAGGGGTCTGGCTGTGCTGAGGGGCCGTGGCGGCCGATGCCCCCGCACTGTGTCGCTCAGCGGAGCCGAGATGGACGCGGGCGAAGGCCGAGGGGGCAGCGCGGAGCACGGCGCCGGTCAGTGCCCGGGGGCCGAGCGGGAGCCGGCGGCGGCGCCGCGGGTTACTGCGGGCGCTCGATACACGGCATGTGCGGGAACCGACTGCGGCGGGACGGAGCTCCACAGCCCCGAGTCCAGCGGCGGCTCGGCCGCCGGCAAAGCCAACAGGTAACCGGGCGGGCGGCGGCCGGAGCGGGTGCCGGGGCCCCGTCGCGGCCGTGACCTGTGGGGCTGCTCGGGGACTGCAGGGCTGCAGGGGGCACGGGCCGCGGCGTGTGCAGGGGGGTGAGCCTGCTGCTGCTGCGCGGCTCCTTGAGATGTGCCTGAGTCTGAGATCGGCTGAGCCATGTACGGCAGTGACCCTGTGCTAGCTTCTGGGTGTACTTCATCTTAAGGCCTTATTTGGCGGTACCAAAGCAGAAATTACTGAAATAATATTTTTCCTGGAAGTTCAGAAAATCAGTGAGATGGTAGTTTCTTGTATTTTTTAATTCATAAAAGAGTTCAAGATCTATAATTCGTGAAACGTTGAACTGGCTTGTTAACATGCAGTACTTGAACCTATGTAATGGTCTATATTATAAGAGTATGATACTAATAAAAATCTCAAATGGATAAAAGTTATTAAAAACAATCGTGTTCATATCCCATCTGTAGGATTAGAATCTCATTTGAGAATACTGACTGCTTATTTTTTAGTCACTGAAATAAGCAAATGTAAGAAGAGGGAGATTTTGCCTTTTAGCAATTCTGCAGCTGTTGAAGCTAACAACTCAAAAGTATAATGAAGACTCTGAAGTCATGTGAGAAATGAAATCTTTGCATCAGGTGTATTTTGAGAACCTCATGGTCCTTATAACCAGATGCAGACTTGAAGGCTGTAAAAACTTAGAGAGATCAAGAATCAGCACCTATTAATGATTTTAATACTAGTGAGATTTACAAAATCTAGAGCAAACATCAGCTTATTTTTAGTTGCTAAGCATCTTGAGAAGCAGAGTGGTTTTGATGGGACTTTGCCATCCATGACATATTCAAATTGGAAACAAGGAAGGTAGAGAACAGTTCAAGTAGCAAAGAAGTGAGAAAAATACAACAGGAAATTTAGTGAAGGAGCATTAGGACGTTTCTGGATATTGTGTGATGCTGCGGCCAATCCCATAAAATGTTGGTTTAGTGAATAATTTTAATTCAGTGATAGAAAAGAAAGCTTCTGTACCAGAATTCTCTTCTAAAGTTTAACCTTTATTTTACAGTGAGCAGCTGAATTGGAGCCAGTCTCACAGAGATATGATGATGATGATCCAAGAAATGAAAAGGTGTTTGCCTGAAGAGAAAAGGAATTCCAGCAAGTCCAGCACCATCAGTGCTCTCAACTACGCCTTGCAGTGTGTCCAGCAGGTCCGAGGTACGTGTGGAGAAAATCTGTAAGAACAGCAGCATGGTATGAATAGATGTGTCTGACAACAGATAGCATTAAAACAAAAGAATGCATTCTAGTTATCCTGCTAACAGTTGACTTTCTGAAGCACTGTGGGGTTTTTATTGGGTTTTTTTTGTTAAACAATCATATTATCTTTTCTATTGAAATACCCACTTACTGCTTCTCTTTTCTTCAGAGTCCCATAGCTAATAGGTGCCTACTAGTACCTTTCTGTGTATATTGAAAAAACATCATTCCCATCCCACTTTGAAAAATTATTGGATAGTTTGTCTTTTTCAACAGAACTAGGTAGCTAAAATTGTTCTTTTGCTATCACATTCTGTCCTTTCTACTTCTTCATGCTTGTTTTCTGTAACATAACTAGGTCACTCCAGTAGTATAATCAGTATTCCTTTTCCCTTTGTCACTACACAGACCTTCTTCATCTCACCTTGGACTTCACCAAAAAGATGACAAAAGTACAAGGGCTGTAAGAAATACTTTCAAAGTAGTCTCCTTACTGACTTTCTTGTGTTTGTTTTGCTTTTCTGTTTGTTTTTTTTTTTTCAATTAGCAAACAATGACTTTTTCCAGGCTCTGAAAGACCGAAGAGTGTTTCAGACTGATGTGGTGACATACAGCATAGAAGAGTTGGTGGCAGTTGCATCTGAACACACTCCAAAAAACAGTGTAAGAATTCAGGCACACTCAAAAAGTTCATCACTTGCCATTGCACTCTATTTAGTCTCCTTACGTTGTTCTGTGGAAATAGAATGTGTAAAATTGAAAGGCCTTTAATTTTTAGTCAGAGAGGCCTTAAAGTTTTAAAGTTAGATCAAGACTACTACTTATCTGTGCTGCCTCAGGGTACCCAATGATAATGAGTAGAAGAAATACTAATTTTTCTTCTTTTTTTTTCCAAGCAACAGATAGCTCTTTGAGAATTCATTTACAGTGTAGTAATCTCTTGAAACAGCAAAAAGTTTTCAAAACCAATCAAGTTTAGAGTTGTGAGGGGCTTATTTTTCCTGTTTGTACTCTGGATTTAATTTTTTTTTCTTGTTTTGCAATATCTGTCATGCTTCCTGGCTCTGCTTTAAAGAAAAGAGTGGTTTTTGAAATTCAATACTGTTAGATGCTATATCAGAAGTATTGCAAATGCTTGCTATTTGAAAAGCTCTTGAGTATTTTTGTATGTGGAATTGTAGTGAACCCTCTGAAATTTGGGGAGAAGTGTGTGGAGTGATAACCAGTCATTCTGGACAAAGACAAGCATCACTCTGATTGGTTTCAGTTTTGATACTGCAGTTTTATTAGCATTTGTAAATCTTGAGTATGCTGTTATGGCATTGAAGAGTGTAGTATTTTACACACTACTTTAATTGGATGCTAAATTAACACATTTTTGAACTTCATCCTGAGATTGTGGTATGTGGTGGTTTGGGGTTGATTTGTTTGTTTTGGGGTTGTTTTGCTTTTTATCTTCATAGTATCATTACCACGTTTGGGGGGATGATTGCCTTTAACATTTGTTTTCCAGGACACATTTGTGGCTGTATTTTCTTTGCTTTCTGGACGCATAGTACATATTTCTGAGCAGGCAGCATCTATCCTAAACTATAAGAAGAAAGTGTTGGACTCTTCCCGGTTTGTAGAGTTGCTTGTCCCTCAGGATGTGAGTGTGTTCTACACACACACTGATCACTCTCACCTGCCACTTTGGAACATGGAAAGTGAAACAGGTGGGACTTGGCAATGCTTTTAAACGTTCTATGTGTCTTTCTGTCTTTACAGAATGAGGGTAGAATAGTAGTTCATTTTAAATGCTTATGCTAGCAGTATACATCAGCAACACTTGTTTCCCTTCCACTTTGAAAACTGCAGTGGCTGTGGGATTAGTTCTTGCTAGTCTCTTAGAGGCTTGACTCTTACTTGGGGTAAGTAAAAGACAGATGCTTTGTTGTTTCATGTACCATCTTACTCATTCCAAATACTGCCGCTTTTTGAAAAGAAACTAGAGGTCTAATTGTGAGTTTGAAGTTGTTTAATCTATACCTTATGGTTGCTTAGGTGCTTTGTCTTTATGGTCCACTTGCTTCCTGCTGTGAAAATAGCTCACCAAAACCAAGTTTTAAGCTGACTTGCTATTTAGTGCTGGACGTGTCTAAACTGTGACTTTTGAGTCCTATGTTATTTGTGAGCAATTTAAACGTAGCTTGCATTCCACGGGTGTGTCTTTTGCCCACTTAGACATGGGTTGTTCTGAGGCTGTTCTGGTATCAGATCTGAGAAGTCCAAAGTCCTTGCTGTCAAAGGATGGTGAGACATCTGGAGGTTGCAAATGCTAACATGCCAGGGATTCCACAACTTGGCAGCCAGTCACGTGCTTGCCCAGCAGAGCAGAGGCACCCCAATGGAGTTGTTCTTGCCTGTATATAGTTTTTGTTACATGGTTCATAAAGCCAGGAAATGTCAACTTTGCTTTTCATAGTGATGCACTGGAGAAAGGATTTTTTTTTTTATTTTTTTTTTTAGGTCATACACATTTCCTCTGAATTTAGTTCCAGGTCAGCCACTTCCCAAAGAGTGAGTGGGCTGGAGAAGAGAGGTAACATTTGAGGTGGGAGCAGACTGTTGAACAGCTAATTCAGTAGCTAATGAAGAGTAGGTTGTGAGACTTCAGTCTTGCTCAGAAAGTCTGGAGAATGCAGAGTTTAAAATAGTTCTGATAGGTGTGACCTTTTTGAGCATATCAACTGATACTTTCAATGTGTTCTTCTTATTAGCTTCTCTGTATGAATATGCCCAGGTGAAATCCTTTTTCTGCAGGATCAGGTAAGTACATTATTACAAGGGTACCATACTAGGCAGAAACTGTTCTATT